TATCTTTTAAATTTGGAGTATAATAAAGAAAGACTTGTTTGAAATAAGCTTTGGATATAATCTCCATTTATATCACTAGGGATCTCTATCCGCTATTCAGGTATCTTAAGCATCCAAGTGCTTCATCTGAAACCCGCAAAGAATTGATCGTTAAATGTCATAATTTGAAAATTAAACAGAAATTGTTGTCGATCCCATAATACTTACACATAGCCTGAAGCACTTCTTCCCTGGGACTCTTCTTACCCCACACCCCTCTTGAAAACTTCCTGCTTCTTGGAGGCATAAAATTCACATTCAACTAATTTTCAACTGCTTTTCCGCAAGCGCTTTTCACACTGCACCACCACCACTGGCAAGGCAACACCACACCATGGAAAACAATGCACAGAAAACATTCAATTTCCATTTGGCCCAAAACACCAGAATGCAACAAAAAACAAAGTAGAGATGCCTCAGAAGAGGAAGAGGAATAAGTAGAGGAAAAGGATATAAAGCAGTACGAAAGGGCGAAGCAGAATCAGAAGGTGGGGAAGCACCAGCCGAGGAGGAGTGTGAGAAAAACTTGCATTTTATGCATTAATTCAAAAATCGTGTTCGGCTGAAAGGAGCAGACGACCGCAGTAAGCGCTTTTAGTACTACTTATACCCCCTATACCCCTCTGTTGCGTGGCTGCCCCCTGCCATCCACACACACTCACACACATGCTGGCGGGCAGCACCAAAAAGTTGTTGCCAAACTCTGGGTATGCCATGCCCCAGCCCCATTCCCATTCCATTCTGTGTGCGGATCCAAAACTTCCTTTTCTTCTCTGCCCTTCTTCTTCTTATTCACTGACTCTCTCTCTCTTCTCTCCTCTAGGCTGTTTTTACACCTGTGCCACACACTCACACACACACACACGTGGGAGAACTTCAGACAAACTTCGGTTTGAACTTAAAGTTCTTCCGGGAGGACGAGGAGGAGGAGGAGGTTCGTCTCCAAAAACAAAACTGTATGCCAGGAAAGCAATAAAAGAGTGGATCAGAGGAGAGTAGGGGGGCAGAAGAATAAAGGAGGAACCGGAGTGCCAGCAGAGAGGTGAAACAGGGCGAGTTAGGCTAAAACTTGGCCCAAAGAGCACGCACCGTGAATATTACTTATTATGTGCAAAAATATTTGCATGGAACAACATAGCAGGAAGGCAAAGGAGTTCGGGGGGAGTAGTGGAGGAGTGAAAGAGAAAAAAACAAGAGAGTGAGATGGAAAGAGAGAGTGAGAGAGAGAGAGGGAGACAAAGACAGTAGACGGAAACGTTTTTAGGCCGCAGGAACTTCCTAATTTTCACAGAAGAAAAAGAATCAGGAGAAGAACAAGGAGAAGAGGAACAAGACCGTCAGATAAGGCAATATTGGACATATGTTAGGAGAAGAACAAGGGCAAGAAGCAACAGAAGAAAGGTAGGAGACGAAACCGAAACAAAAAGAATAAGAGAAATAGAATAGAAGAGGAATATAAAAGAAAAAGAAGATGAGAAGAATAACGGCGCAGAGTAGAGAGGAAGAAAGGCAGTGGAAAAATATGTGAGACTGAGCCCAAGAGAAGACTCGCCCCAAGGAGGTGGGTTGGCATCCAGGAGGATTGGAAGAAGGAGGAGCATCCACAGAAGCTATAGGAGGAGCAGCAGCAGTATGGAGAAGCTACCAAATGAGGCACAGAAGATGAAAAACAGATGTATGTAGTAGGTTTAGGCAGAGAGAGGAGCAAACAAAAAACAAAACCGAGGAGTAGAGGTGGCAGGTGTCGTGCTGCTAATGGAGACAGTGGTGTAGCGGAGCAGCAGCAGGAGGAGAACCTGTGCACAGGAGTCCAGGACAGGAGTGACAGACACACACACACACACACACACAGCTAAAGCAGCGACAAGGACCCGCACTGGGAACCGGCAACCCCCGGACACAGACAGACGGGACCCGAACGCCGCCAAAAAGGACGACGTGTCAGCAGCAGCAGCAGCAGTTTTTTTTCGCACTCCTGGCTGCTGCTGTTTTTGTTGTAAATATCATTAAGTCCGCGTACGTGCCAAATGGCAGTTTAATTATGCCAAAAGGAAAAACTTCAACAGAGACAACCAGAGAGAGGGGGGGAATGAGGAAGAAACTCCAGAGCGGCGAAAGCCAGCAGGACACACAAGACTCCCGTGAAGAAGTGAAGTTTTTTTTTTGGAGAAGCATTTTGCAATTAAAATAGATATAAACATTAAAAACAGTGAAAAATCTACCGCCCAAAAAAAGAAAATATGAAAATTTTCACTTGGGTTTGCAGCGAGAGACGAAGAGGGAAAGAGCGTGGCAGGCCAAGTTGCATACGTGTGAATTATTAGAGGAAAAGTTAATGAGGCCGTGAAGAAATGCGGAGCAGATGATTGGAAGAGAAGACAGCAGGAAGCTGGAGACAGAGAGAGAGAGAGAGAGAGAGCGAAAGGAAGATGGAGTGGCTGGAAAATTAGATAGAAAATTCCTTGTTTGACAAGTTGATTAGATGGCAAGGAGACAGGCAAATGCGACTGGCAGAAGAGTCGTTGAGAAAAAGTTGCGGCACCTCCTTCAAGACATTTCGATTTTAAATTTAAAGTTTGTCTCTTCAAATTACGGTAAAAATGCCAACAGCAAAAAATGTCGATATTTCTCAACTCTGTAAAAAAGTTTATCATTTATTTTCGAAAGAAAAAACAGTAAATATTCGTGGGATGTTTATGGAACTTGTTAATATGTTTTATTAATTTCGATGCCGAATACAGAATATTAAATATATTAGCTCGTGTCATTGGAAAACGTTTTCTTTGTGTTTGTTTAATTGGCAGCCATTAACCAACCAAGTAATATATTATTCAGGCTTTTCCTTCTATTAATGAATGACAAAAGACATTTCCAGTGCCCCTTCTACATATGAATAATAAAAGAGTTTCCCCTTATTTGTTTTTTGTTCCCCTTTTTTTCTTCCACATTTTCCCCTCCAATAAATGCACCGAGGAGTGCCACTCTGTTGCTGTTGAAGTGCTTTCCATGCCAGAGTTTTCTCAGTCTCTCGCCTTTTGAAATTTCAAGGGTGCAACAACATCCTCTTTGGGTGCATCATTTTGTTAAAAGTTTTCCCTGCATTTACACCTCCACCTCCGTTCTGACACTGCTCTTTCTTTGGGGTGGTGGAAAAATTACTCCCTTTTTTCAACTATTATTAACAACTATTATTTTGTCCAGTTAAATGTTTTTGGAAAACGAGAGGAGCTTAAGTGATGTTGCCACACTTTGGAGCAGGCACACACACAAACACACACACTCCAATCTGTCTCTTCCTTTCTTCACTCCCCTCCTTTTCTCTACCCCTTTCTGGTATCCAATTTGCGTTAACATTTATTACGTACTCGAAGGCGAAACTTTTCTCGAATTTTATTCTCTCAACTCTGTTGAGAGGCAGAAATGGGGCATACCAGGGGGGCGGATTGGAAAACTACTGATGGGCGTGTCCATTATACTGTGCATAATTTTATGACGATAATTAATTTCATGTTTTGTGGAGGGAGGCAGCAATGGGTTAAGGAACACTCCTGCGGCTGTATACGCCTACCATTCCGGAAAATGTTTGTTGTTGTTTCCATTCTCTGTCTGCATTCGGAAAATGCAATGTTTCCTTAGAGTACTTTTCTCTTCCTGTTTAATTCTCCTTCCAATTTCTATCTCTCCTCCTTTCCTCTGTCTACTCCTTCTGCTTTTTTCTCCTTCTTATTTCTTCTCCCCCTTTTTCTCCTCCTTTCTTTTCTTCTGTCTTAATCATTGTGCGAATTCCTGCGAATTATTTTTAGCATTTTCGTTTGGCGTCGCTTGCACTTGAAAATGTTCGCGAAATTGCTGCGAAAAACACCCATCCTCTACACCCCACCGCTCTCTACAACAATTCCAGAGAAATTCAGAGGAAAGAAGGCTTTTGGGGGGGACTACAAGATAAAGCGGATAGAGGGACATTCCTTAGCTCATTTTGCGGTTACGACTTGTCGGCTTTTTCTTCTTGTCATTTCCCGCAGCTGTCGTCAGGGCAGCAGGCCCCCCCCTGTCCATCCACCCCACACCTCTCCCTGCACATTTGAAGCCAAAATATTCTGCGAGATTACCCCTCCTGCTACATCCCTCTATTAACCCTTCTGTACCCACACAATGGCCCTACGTTTCGACATTTTGTCTCGCAGAAAGCTCTACAATTTTGGTGTTGGACAATTTTTGCATATTTCTTTTAGAGGCACGCCCACAGGGCGGCACTCACCGCCCTCCGCCCACTCTTTATATATATACAATATTGAGTTTTTATCGTTCAATGCTCATTATTTGTTGTTGCTTCTGTTGCTGCTGCTGCCGCTGCCATGTGGCAAGTACTGTGTGCAACTATTTGCAAAGTAATTTCATGAGTTTTGCTTTTTCGATTTTTCTTTCTTTCCATCAGCCTTAAATAAAGTTTTCGCCCTTTCGCGCAGGAAATGTGCGGGAATGGGAAAGGAAAACTTGTGGTTTTTCCTCTTTCCTTTTTTTTTTTTTAGAATTTTTATTGTTATTGTATTTGCCACAACAACTGTTGCCACATTTGAACTTTGTTCTGCTGCGGTTTTCCCATTTTCGTTGCCCTTCCCTTCTCTTTGATTGGGATACGGTTTTCTTTTGCTTATTTGCATTATTTTAAGGGTTCGACCAAAAGGGGTTTTTTTTTGTGGTGAGCGGAGGGCAGAGAGATGAAACAAAATATATGTACGAGTATTTATTATTTCTCTTTTTTGTATAATTTTTAATGATTTCTGTTGACCTTAAACTTTTTTCTGAGGTTAAAAGTTGGACATACAAAAAAAATAGGGAAACATAATGAGGAATTCGAATTGGGGGAGGGGGTGTTTTTTTCTACCCTTTAATGACTACATTTCGTGCTGATTATATGCTGATTATTTTGTGGTTTCTATTTCCTAGTACTATTCTCTTACCCAAAAGTGCAATTCCATGGGGTTGTAAAGATGACTTACCTAAAATAAGAAGAGAAAAGTGACAATTTTAGGGAAATTCGATATATTTCTGGTAGTACAAATAAGTAGCGAAATAAAAGTCAACATTATCGCAGTGCAAAAGTGGTGGAAAATGTTGTAAATATAAATCACTTGCAATCAATATAGTGCCAAGAATCAATTTAATCTCTCAATTGAGATCCACACGCAGCCAGCTCCTTCTCTGGGCATCACCCTGCCCACCTGTCTGTGCAAACAATTTGTACACTTCTCCTGGGAAAAAGCAGAGCGGAAAACAGCTGGCACATACGCGTACACATATGGCCATCATATGTTAACTGAAAAGAAAAGCCAGAAAGCAGCAGACAGAGATGCTTTAAATTACATCAAAGATCTACTTCACACACACACACACACACACACAAAATCAGATAAAAAGGGAAAGAAAAAAGTCAAGAAAAGAAATCGACAAAATCTCTGTAGCAAGTGAAAGAAAAGCTATGTATGTCCTGCCCATTGGAAAGTGTCGCTTCAATATGTGTGTGCCTGTGTGTGTTTATGTGTAGGAGCTGTGAAAGATGAAAAATAAATAACAATCACACAAAAATCAATATTGACAAAGCGACCTGAACAGAGAGCAGAGACAGTTGCCTCCCTCTCCTCCCCTCCTTTGCCGCGACAGGACTCCAAAGGCAAAAAAAAAAAAACATTCGAGTGGGCGACTCGGCCTGTGCTCAGGCGTGGCCTCTCGAGGCGGCCATATGTTGCCTGCAGCGTTGAAAAACTTACCCAAACGCAAAACGCAAAAACAACGTACAAAAGTACACAAGTTTCTCCTTGTTCTTCTTGCTCGTTTTGTTTCCTTTTTGGATATCGAAATTTATGCAAAACTTTTTTAATCAAGTGTCAGGCCGAAGGGCAAAATGTCGGAGAAATCAAATCAAATTTCGATGGAATTTTCGCACTCAGTTATGGCAGGCTCCTTTAATGAGAGAACAGCTGTTGCACATGCCAAGCGCACACACTCGAACGGAACACACACACAGATACACTCGGTCGTCTCTGGGTTTATATTTTTCTTTCTCTTATTTGTTGTTTTGCCGCTTAGTCGCACGCACATTCAGCTCGAAACGCTGTCGGATGCTGACTGAAAACCGAACAGGGCCAGGCCATGCCAGGGAGTCGGCTAAAAAGAGTCCGAGAGACGAGTCCGCCATGATTGAAAGCCGGCTGCTGCTGTTCGTTCTGTCGGAGCGAGCGAGCGAGGGAGGGAGGGGGGTGGTGGGCTAGGGGTTGTTCTGGGGTGGGGTTGAGTGGGCCTGTGGACTGGACGCAACCTGTTGCGCAGCCCCCTAACCAGAAAAACCGAAAACCAAAGCAATCCCCCAAGCCAAATGGCAATGAAAATGTCATTGAAAAAAGGACGAAGACACATGCACACAGGAAGGAGCACAGAAAGAGGGAAGGGGAGGGTGCAAAAGCGGATGGCTAGGGGCAAAAGAAAGAGGAGAAAGCAATACGATTGACGCCTCAAAGTATGCAGCAAAGGAGCGATGGAGCAGAGGAAAAAGAAGACTCCTTTCAAACTGTCATCGAGATCAGTTCTCTCCTCCACTTTGTCCCCTCTCCATTTTGTTTTTGTGCACCGGAAACGTGGCTGACAGTCAATTAATAAACGGTTCGACACTTGGCCGCCAGAGGGCGTTGCCAGTCCATTGCCTGACTTTCCTTTCATTTTCTCCACTCCTCTTTTTCTTATACAGTTTTTGTTTTCTATCTTGGTTTTTTCTTCTGCTCTGTGTGTGTGTGTGTGTGCGTTTCTTTGCTCTCTCTGCGTGGGTGGCATTTGCGTCATTCATTGGGCTTGGGCCTTAGGGCTGTGGCTGTGGCTGCCCATGGGCCACCCTCTAATTAACATTTTTTCCCCGCACAACTTTTTCATCGTTTTTCTTTTTATTTGCCTTAGCATCAGCTGTTTTCCAAGGAGTTAACAGGTGCTTTCTTTCTGATAGATTTTCCCCTTTTGATAGATGGTATAATCTGGCAGAGCAATGAATAGATTTTTTTGATGGATTACCCTCAAGAATTACAAGCGAAAATTCTTAAAACTTTGTGTGAATTTTCAGTGGAAAATCAAAAATAATTTACATAAAGGGGTTTTCTTTGGAATGGAATGATTTATCCAAAATGTGCATATAAAATTGGGTTTTTTACGACGTTTGTCAGTTTGATTGATGGGTTTTAGAGGTATGGAAGGCGGATTAATATCGTAAAACAAATGATATTTGAAAGGGGAATGGCAAAAGTACCAACCAAAGTGAAGCAGAAAATATAAAAATATAGAACAATTAAAAATTATAAACAAACTTAAAGATTTGCGGTATTTTTTGTATTGCTTTTAGTTACTCAAGTATAAAAAATAAACCCATAAGCGGAAAAGTCTGACAGAAAATCATTTAATTTCTCTGTTTTGATTCTAAAAAAACAATGCGATTTTTACAACAAATATTCAGAATAAAAAGCATAATTAAAACTGTTTTTTAACACTTAAATTTCAGAGATTATTCGCCGCTGTTTTATGCTGCAAAATACTTTAATTTTTTTGTTCTTTTACACGTCCTCGTTTTGCCATGGCTTTGAAAAACGCATCCATCATTTCCGGTTTAGTCACAGCAACAACATCTGCTGCTGCCCTTCATAGAAAGTCACCAACACCCACATTTGCCCACACATTTGTCACCCATTTTAATCTAATTAAGGCTCTGTCTTCCCCCTGGTGAATGACTCCTGCTCCTGCTCTGCGAAAAACATGCAAATCAAACCCACAAAATGTTGGCCAAAATTTCTGCCCACCGTCCTACATTCCCCATTCCCCATTGCTCACCCCCCCCCAAAAACAGTCGTTATCATTAGCCAACAATACGGACAAAGGAAAAAAGAAAACTATTCCCAAAACATATGTCAAATAATAAAATAAAAACCAATCAGCAACAGCTGCAGGGCATTAATAGAGAGACAGAGAGAGAGAGAGCTCAAAGAAGAGAGAAAGAGTGGGAGTGGGAGAGGCATTAGAGAGAGAGTGAAAGAGTGGGAGAAGCAGGGAGCTACATACGCAGAGCGAAATGGAGACAAATTCACAAATTAGGTTTGTGGGGGGGGGGGGTCAAATTAGCAAAATCAAATTTACATTGTCAGCCACAAGAAAATGCGTTCCACTGTGCTAGAGAGGGTGCAAAGAAAGAGAGAAAGCGAGAGGGAAAGACAGAGGGAGTGAGTGCGAGAGAGGACTCACTCCATGAGTGGTTTCAGTGCTACAATCAACAAATGAATCCTTCAAAAACCACAAAAAGTCATGGAAGAAGCTCCTGTGGCTTTTTTCTTTCTTTACTTTGTTGTTGTTGAACATGTGTACCTCCGCTCCACTCCTCTGGCCAACCATCCTTACATTCGCTCTCTACCATTGCTTGAGAATTTCCCACTTCCGGTTGGAAATGGAAATGGTAGCAGAGCGCAACGAGAAAATATTTCGCACGAAGGCGGGCGGGCACCAGCAGCGTTTTGTTCTCCTAAATGTCAAGGATACAACAATTACAACAGCAACAAATGCAAAAACAGCAAGAAAAAAAGGATAACGGGAATCGAATATTTGGATATCCTAGCAGATCCGATCTGTCTCAATCTACATACCAAAAGCAGCTCAAAAGAAAATACTGCTCAAAGTTGCAGACAGTTATCTAAGAGATTCTTCTGGGATCAAGGATTCCGCCTTCTTCGTGCGGTACAAGCATCACCTCAATACCATAGTACCCTCTAAATACCCTCGAAGAACAACAGGCAGAGAATGCCGAGAGCAAGGACAGCGGCATTCAAGCAACGATGTTGCCGTCGTCGTCGACGCCATTGAGAGAAATGCTGTAATTAATTGTTGTGGCACACACATACACACATGGGGCATGCGGCATGGTCGAGCATACAATATGGCCACTTTGTTGACAATTCTTGCGGCTGGAACAGGAGGAGAGTAGTAGTAGTAGACAAGGGGAGGAGTAGGAGAAGACCATGAATTAGTAAAACAAAACAAAAAAGGCTCAAAGGGCGTGAAAAGCTGCATGCGAAGTTTCAGTGGGAGTTCGAAAGACGCTCTTAAAAATGGACTTTGTTGCCGGGAAATGCCGATAAAGGAGTAGATTTTTCATTAATTCTGCTATCCTCTTTCGTTCTACTTCTACTTCATCTTATTAATATTAATATTAATTTTTTGTACCAATTAATATTCCATTCCCAATCCGAAATGACAAATTCTTGAGCTCATAAAAAAGGTGAATCCGTAATTTTTGCCCAGCTTTCCCCTTAGTCTGACCCAAATGAACTCCATGTCACACGTATCCCATGCGATATCTATGGCGGAATACGTTTCCTTCATCCGTTCTCCCCCCCATGTTCTATTTATAAATGACAAACGCAGAATGTGGGCGCCAAAAGCCATCAATCAAAACCAACAACAAAATACGTAAAAATAAATGCAAATAAATACCCGAAAAACAGACGGAAATGACAAAGGGAAAAAAATTCTAGAGGAGCGAAAATTCTCATGGTTGGGGGAAGCCAGAGGTGAAACGAATTGCATGACAACTGAAAGAGACTGACGAGGAGGATTCAAGGGATCTACCCACGCATTCTAGAGGTAATCCAGCAGGTTGGTGAAGGGGGGAAAGCACTGAAGGAATGTTGGGTGGTTTACTGGAATTAAATTAAAAACGTTTAAAATGCGTGCTGCATACTTTTTGGCGCTGTCTGCCAGACAAGGGATGACACTCCAGTTTTCCTCCCCTCTGTATTTTGTTGGGTACAACTTTTCTTTCTATATTTTGCCGGCAACATGTGTGTATCTGTGTTGCGGAAAAACTTTTCTGGTTCCTTGAAGAGTATTATTTCATTTTGCAGGAAAAACTTAAGTAGCCGCAACAAAAAAACAGAAAAAAAGAGGAAATCTGACAGGCAAATGCGCTTCTGCTCATTAA